AAGAAGGAGAGAAAAACACTTCATATTTTTATGGGTTGGAAAAATCAAGACAAACAAAAAAGTTAATTTGTAAACTAAGCAAGAATGATACAATAATTGATGATCCAGAGGAAATTTCAAATGAAATTTTCCTTTTCTATTCAGACTTATACAAATCAAACTTCCGGAGAGAAGATTGTGAGTTTCTTTTTGAACTAATGGGAGACCAAATTACTAAAATTGAGGATGAAGATAAAGCATATCTTGAAAGTGATTTAAATATTACAGAAATTGAAAGCGCTTTGAAAGAAATGGGCAATGGCAAATCACCTGGTATCGATGGCTTGACCTCTGAATTCCTTAAGTTCTTTTGGAAAGATATCAAAGATTTATTATTTGAAACATTTAAAGATTGTATAAAAGAAGGCACTCTTTCTCCATCTATGAAAACAGGCCTGATAACCCTTCTGCCCAAACCAAACAAAGATTCAACTAAATTAGATAATTGGAGACCGATTACACTATTATGCAATGACTATAAATTGTTAGCCTTAGTATATGCTAACAGACTGAAGAAGGTAGTAGACAAAGTCATTGATGACATGCAATCTGCATTTATTAAAGGTAGAAATATTCATAACAATGTAAGATTAATATTAGACATGATAGACTATCAATCAACATTAAGAACAGAAAGTCTAATATTATTCATTGACTTCTTTAAAGCATTTGATTCAATAGAACATGATTTTATTTTTCAAACAATACAATATTTTTGTTTCGAAACCAAATTTTGCGCCATAATCAAAATGTTTTATACAGAAATTTATAGTTACATTTCAGTAAACTCGGGAACTACACCCAGGATAAATGTGAACTGTGGTATAAGACAAGGATGTCCAATTTCTCCCAAAATATTTATTTTATGTACACAACTTCTTGCTTGTTTTATCATTAATCACCCAGATTTTCAAGGTATCAAGTTCTTTGAACATAAGTTTTGTCTCAGTCAGTTTGCAGATGATACAGTGTTCTTTCTACAAGATAAAAATATGGTTAAAAATACATTGGATATAATCAACATTTTCTCAAAAGCCTCAGGCCTCTGCTTAAACTTGAAAAAATGTGAACTTCTTCCTCTTTATACATGTGAAGAATCAGAAATATCATCAATCCCAGTAAAAAATTAAGTGAAATATTTAGGAATAAAATTGATCAAGGATGAAAAAAAGAGAGAAGAAATTAACATGAAAGAAAAAATTGAATCAATGCAGGGAAAACTAAATCACTGGCTTACTAGAGATTTAACAATTTTTGGGAGAAATTTGTTATCAAAAGCAGACGGTATCTCAAAATTAATATACCCATGCCAGTCGTTATATATTCACCCAAAAAATACAAAAAAGATCAATTCTATTATTTATAAGTTTATCTGGAGGAATAAGACACACTATTTAAAAAAATCCCAACTGGTGAAGGAACCCGATCAAGGAGGCATGAAGTCTATTGATTTTGAAGCAATGTTGGGAACTTTCAGATTAAAATGGTTGAAAGAATTTCTGTCAAAGCCAGATTCACGTTGGTTTCACATCCCTAGAAACATTTTTAAAATGGTTGGTGGATTAGATTTCTTACTTAAATGTGATTTTGAAATTTCAAAGCTGCCTATAAAATTGTCTGAATTCCACAAACAAGTACTGTATCACTGGAAAATGATATTTACCCACAACTTCACCCCTCACTGTGCCACCCTGTGGAATAATAGAGTAATTGTATCAAACAAAAAAACTTGTTTTAATCAAAACTGGTTTGACCGAAATATTATCTTTGTGCATGATATTCTGGATACAAGTGGTCAAATATTAAATTTAAATGACTTAAATAATAGATATAATTTTCAGTGCTCTCTTAAAGATTACAGAAAAATCTGTAAAGCAATTCCAATTCCTTTATTACAATTGATTAGAAATACTATTCAATATTCTACGGTCCAGATAAAATTACCTGTGTTGAAAATTGATAGCTTAAAAATCACAGATAAGAAATGGGATAACAAGCATTTGAATAAGTTGTTTAAAAATACTTTATATTATGATTATGGAAAAAAAGTCCATTATAAAATGTTTGAAAATCCTATAGAAGATGGGAAAAACTGGAAATTTGTAAAATGGCCTGTATTGCCTAAAGCCTGGTTCACACGAGACGATTTTAAAATTGTCGGCCGATTTTTCTCCGTGTTAGACCCCACACGGGGAGATTAAAAATCCTGCGTCTAACCACTTTGGTCGTGCAGTGTGTGGTGCGTAGCCACACGGCAAGATCACGCAAGCCACAAACATCACACACGAATCTCTCGAGATCAAGCGTGACTTCAGAGTAAACAGTCATGGCGGACGAAGAGGATGCAGTGGCGATAGTGTGCAGTTTGTTGTTAACAGAGAAGACACGTAATCCAAAGAAAAGGCAATGGTCAAAGCCATGCTGCTGTGTTTTGGTTTTTTTCCGGTGTTTCCTCACCGGCTTGTCACCTCGTCTTCTTATTGGCTACACGCCGTAGTCATGGCAACGCGCTCGCTTGTCCTCGGGGGACACCACACACGACAAGAAATCGGGCCAAAACAATCCAACATGTTGGATATCCCCGATTTGAGATCGGGAGCAGTCCCGATGTCCTTCCGAGCGACGAGTGCAGTCTTAACACACCACACACGGCAGGATAATCTGTAAGATTTTGTTACGGAAATCGGAGCGTTTCTTAAGATTGTCGTAAGGGGTAAATCGGGTCTAAATCGGCCTAAATATCCTGCCGTGTGAACCAGGCTTAAGATAAAAGAAATGCAATTTAAGATAATTAATAACTATTATCCATCTGCTGAGACACTGAGGGGTCGATTTGGTTTTGAAGTTGAACCATGCGAGTTTTGCCAGCAGGAGCCAGAAACTATCAAACATCTATTTGTATCCTGCTCAAAATCAAAACAATTCTGGGATGATATTCATAATTGGCTAAATATAAAAATTGAAAATTTAACACACTTTACAGAAGAAGATATTCTTGTATATAAAAGTAATGTTACTAAAGAATATGTGACAATTGTTAATATTGTTTTAATGATTGGTAAATATCATATCCATAAAAGCAAATGGAAAAAGAACCTGCCAAACATAACATGTTTTAAAAACGAATTTAAAATGTATTTGTCCTCTCTGAAAATATGTATAGAAACCAATCTGAAAGCTAATCAAATCTACCAGTCTGCTGAAAATCTACTTCTGTGTTAAGACATTGAACAGTGTGTCATATGTTTTTTTGTGTCTATTTTGTGAATTTGTATTTTCATTTAATTTTTGTTTTTTATTTCTTGAAGCCTTGCCTTGAAATTGGTTGTCTCAACGAGAGTTTGTATTGTTTTACATTTTGAATAAAAAATAAAAAAAAATATAAAAAAAGAAAGATTAGCAGAAGTTGCCTGGAACTCTCAAAGATCTCTGGGAAACTCTCAAAGATCTATGGGAAACTCTCAAAGATCTCTGGGAAACTCTCAAAGGTCTATGAGAAACTCTCAAAGATCTATGGGAAACTCTCAAAGATCTATGGGAAACTCTCAAAGATCTATGGGAAACTCTCAAAGATCTATGGGAAACTCTCAAAGATCTATGGGAAACTCTCAAAGATCTATGGGAAACTCTCAAAGATCTATGGGAAACTCTCAAAGATCTATGGGAAACTCTCAAAGATCTATGGGAAACTCTCAAAGATCTATGGGAAACTCTCAAAGATCTATGGGAAACTCTCAAAGATCTATGGGAAACTCTCAAAGATCTATGGGAAACTCTCAAAGATCTATGGGAAACTCTCAAAGATCAATGGGAAACTCTCAAAGATCTATGAGAAACTCTCAAAGATCTATGGGAAACTCTCAAAGATCTATGGGAAACTCTCAAAGATCTATGGGAAACTCGCCTGTATTTGGGCATCGTCTGGTCCTCCCGGTTCTGTGCAGTGGATGATCTCCCATAATGCATTGCGTCAAACACGCGTGTGAGGGTCTCACACCGGTCTCACGCACGTGCACAGAGGGTCTCACGCACGTGCACAGAGGGGCTCGGCTCTGACCAATCAGAGCAGTTCATCAGAGCGGGAGTTAGAGCGAGAGCCAGACGAGCAGAGTTTGTGGCACTAAAGTGTGGATTTAAACAAAACCGAAGGATTTAAGAAGAAAAAAAGTTCAGGACGACAAGGGACACTAAAATCCCCACAAAATCTGACCTTTATTAAAGCTGTAGGTTCTCTGTCAGGTTCTCTGTAGGTTCTCTGTCAGGTTCTCTGTCAGCTGAGGTTGAGCTGTTTTAATATGCATTGAGTTCTATGGGGAACATTTCTGGGTAGCCCACGTGAATTTAGTCTGGTTCAGTCTGGTTCAGTCTGCAGTACCGCGAGAATCCCCCGAGCACATGAGTTATTCAGCTACTCTATCCAGTTAATATAATAGATCCATGGTTGTATCCTGTTGGTAAAAGATGTCGGAGTAAAAGTGCAAGTTCATCAGAGATGTTTCTGTCAGTATTACTGGCCACGATGCAACAGTGTATGTATGTGTTTTTGTTTAACGCAGTTTCTTTTCCCTTTGAATGAATAAAAACTTAGTCTATGGTTCCAGCGGCAGTTTAAATGTGTTCTGTCCTCTGATTGGCTGTTCCCATTCTGTCCTGTGAATGGCTCTTCCTGTTGTATACGGTTTATGCTTGTGCCCTGTGATTGGTTGTTTCCGCTGTAATCGTTCGGTTCTTGTGCTTTGCGCGCTGTGATTGGCTGGAGCCTGAGTAAGCCGTCCTCTCATTGGCTGTTGTGTCGCAGGGTTACATTTCAAACTGCCGTGAGTCTGTTATGACTGAGGCAGGACCCGAGAGAACAGCAGCGCATGGTTTTATTCTTTTTAATGGTGTTTTATGGTCTTTGATGGTCTTTGATCTGCTCGGACATGGTTCTCGCCTCGGTGTGAGCTTCCCCCGGTACTAACATGACCTCCGCGGCTCACAGCGGCCGCTGGGACATCAGCCCCGGACAGGACCGGGACCAGGACAAGGAGAACTCGGTCCCGGTGCTCAGCCTGGTCCAGTTCTCCAAAGCCCCGTTCGTGAGCTTCGGGGCCGTGACCCTGGGCTCCTCCCGGTCCGCGGTGCTCAGACTCCAGAACCCGAGCGAAGACACAGAGGCGCGGGTCACAGTGGACAGAGTACCGGCCAAGAAGGGCTTCTCCGTGGGTCAGGACCGCTTCACTTTAGAGGTACACAATATACTCAATACACACAATACACAGACACACTGTAGAGGTACACAATATACACAATACACACAATACACAGACACACTGTAGAGGTACACAATATACACAATACACACTATACACAGACACACTGTAGAGGTACACAATATACACAATACACACAATACACAGACACACTGTAGAGGTACACAATATACTCAATACACACAATACACAGACACACTGTAGAGGTACACAATATACACAATACACACTATACACAGACACACTGTAGAGGTACACAATATACACAATACACACTATACACAGACACACTGTAGAGGTACACAATATACTCAATACACACTATACACAGACACACTGTAGAGGTACACA